CAAAAAATAATATTTAAGAAAAAAAATTCAAAATTTAAGTGAGGCTGCAGTCAATAATCACCCTACAGCCTAATAAAACTACTTCTTCAATTTGTCTAGCTTTCGAGAATTTTATTCGCATCATCAGGCTTTGACTTTTTGACTTTTTTTCTTAACTTAGTCACGACTAAACCTGCTATTTTTTTTAATAATATTTAATGTAAATGTGTTTTTCTTTTTAAAGTATAAATTTAGAATAAGGGTTATTCCATAAACCTTTTCTGGAAGAAACAATTTTCTGGAAAAATCAAAATAAAAAACAAAAAAAAAATAATTTAATATACTTTCATAATTAGTTTACAACTCAATATTTAAATATACAGGGTGCTACAAATTCGAGGTACGAGCATTGGTATCTCGGAAACCGTAAGAGATACGAAGATGGTTAAATTGGGGCAAAGTTGCGCTCTAGGATGTTCACCAAAATGCCATCAATAAAGTTTTAAAAATTTCAAGGATTGCCGAGTTTTTCGGAAAAAACGGATTTTTTGAAAATCAATTTTATTTTTTCCTGGCGTTACTTTTGTAGAAAATCAAAAAACTAATTGCACATTCTCATGGCTACTTTATTAGGTCTATCTGACAGTGTTTTTAGATTTTTAAATTAGCTGATAATTTGTGAGATACAGAGGCCAACTTAATTTTTTTAAATACGGACCTGTATTTTTTATTTGAAGTTTTGAAAGAACTCGATCTCCTGAGTACAATGATATGCCACACTTGATACTTTTCTTTGTTTTAGGTACCTTAACAATAACAAAACTATTTAATTATTATTTAAAATAATTTAAAGTCCCACTCTGGTTTTTAAATTATTTAATCTGATTATATTCATCGCAACAATATGGATATATGAAAGATTCAAACAAATAATACCCAGGTCAGCAATTCAAAAATATTATTTATAACTTTTTTTGTTGTGATTTTGAAATATCAGTGTACGATCTAATAATATGCATAATATTAATCGTAGTTATTATAAATAAATCAACTTCTACAAACTAGTTTCTAAAACTAGTAATGCTCTACATGTTCGAAAGGGTTACCACCGTCCCTAATGCACAAATTAATGTATTTTTCGTTCAATCTTATTTATAGCTCTTTGAACATATCTTCTTCTTATACTTCCGAATGCATTCTGTACTCTTTATTGTAATGTTGAAATGTATTGTCACTTTTAAAAATGATGTCAAGGAATGCCCAATAATTTTATATTATTTTTTATTATTTAATTGCATTTGATTATCCGTATTCAATGTTTTACTCCACGTCATTGTTAAGTTTGAAAGCTTACCAATATTGTAACGATGAATAGATTAAATATTTAAAAAAACAGAGCCGGACTTGAAATAAGTTTAATTAAATTGTGTTCAAATGTCCGAAACAAAAAAAAAATATTAAGTGTGGCTTATCATTGTACTCATGAGACCGAGTTCTTTCAAAATCTGAAATAAAAAATGTAGGTCCGTATTTAAATAAATTAAGTTGACCTCTGTATCTCACAAATTATCAGCTAATTTGAAAATCTAAAAATACGATCAGATAGTTCTAATAAAGTAGCCATGATAATGTGCAATTAGTTTTTTGATTTTCTAAAAAGTAACACCAGGAAAAAATAAAATTGATTTTCAAAAAAATCCGGTTTTTTTCAAAAAACTCAGCAATCCTTGAAATTTTTAAAACTTTTTTGATGGTATCTTGGTGAACATCCTAAAGCGCAACTTTGCCCCAATTTAACTTCTTTATCTTTTTTTTTTTCTCTTACGGTTTCCGAGATACCAATGCTCGTACCTCGAATTTGTAGCACCCTGTATAATCTTCATTCTTCAATCTTGTTGCGAACACCCTCATCAAATCGACTTAAAAACTATGATTTAACTTACGAACTCCTTAGAGGATTTTGTCACTAATAAAACACAATCAGAATACACCGTAATAAATGTAAATTTAAGTAATTTAATGTAAATATTAATTAATGTAAAGAAAGTAAAAATGCATAAGCGCCTTAAATTTTTTATATAATTTAAAGTTTCATATATTATAGTGTTCTAGTCGACCAATTTTAATGATTTTTTAAGAAAATTGTAGCTAAATTATTGAGCTTTCTAGTGTATTTTTCTAAATTAAAAATAAAAGTTGCCATCTGCCAATTATATGAGGAAAAACAAAAAGTTGGAATATTTTAGTGAAAGTTTGAAACACACTGATTTGTATGTAGTAGGAGTACATTAACAAAGCTAGAAATTTCAACATTATCTTCTAGGTGTATCTTTTCTCGATAGTTTGTTGTTTTGACTCATATCAATAGCTTTATTTTTTTTGGAGATATTCGGTTTTGAAGAAGACACTAACATTTTTTCGTATTTTTTACATTAAAACCATGCCTTTGCTTTTGGTCCTAGTCAACAGACTTATAAAATAGTGGTTATGATTTATGTAATGGCACTGTCTTTGAAAAATCATATTATTATTGTCTGTCGGGCAGTTACTCTAGCAGATATGGTTTTAAGTTCAAAGGTTGATCTCTGCCATGATCAATTAAAGCAGCAATAGCCGATATTTCAGAATTTAAAACCATGTCAACGAGAGTAAACGTCAATACACAATAATAATATGACTTGGCAATGACATGATAGTTAGATTAGAAACACAATAAACACTATTTTACAAGTGTGTTGATGTGGACCTAAAATCAAAGCTAAAATTGCATTAAAATCGTTGCTGTATTATTCAAAAGCGAATATCTCCAATAAAAAGAAAGCTATTGAGACGATTCAAAAAACAAACTATCAAGAAAAGACGCATCTAGGTGATAAAATAATTTTTAAATGACTTGCTTTGTTAATATATTTTACAGGGTGTTTCAAACTTTCACCAAAATATCAACATTTTGTTTTTCATCGTATAATTAGCAGATGGAAACCTTCATTTTTAATTTAGAAAAGTACACTAAAAAGCCAAATAATTTAGTTTCAAATTGCTTAAAAAATCATCAAAATTAGCACACTAAGAAAAATGCAGGGTTGTTCACCACATACGACACGGAGTATTGTAGCTAAACGATTAGATTTTTACAAATTGTAAGTTTTGTGTTCATTGAAGGACTGTTAGAGCTACAATTTAAAAATATTTTTACAAGACACAGAGTGTCCCAAATAAGTAAAAAATATTATAGTTGTATTTTTTTAAATAGAACACCCTGAATATTATTCTATTCTTGGATTATACGATTGAAATAAATGTAAATTTGATTAAGGTTTATCACACTTAAACCTTACCGTTTTTGAAATATTTTCAATTTTATGTAATTGCAGTAAAAATTTTAAGGGTTCATTTCTCCAAGGGTATCAAAGTTTTTAATACTAAATATTTACTGAAGATTATTTATTGATCAGATATTATGCTGCAATAATAAAAATTTTACCTGCAATTTAAAATTTTTTATTTATTATTTTTTTTTTATTTTATTTTTTTTTTAATTTTTTTTTATTTTAATTTATCTTATACAGAGTGTCCAAAAATTTATATTAAATAATTACTAGCTTTAAACGGCAATAACTTGTTTAATTTAAATAGAACGCCCTATATATTTTACGTGAATCAGATGCGCAATGTAATTGTCTATCAAATTGTATTATACCAATTTTTATCCATCTCTTCAAGTTTTCGTAGAAAATGCATTTTCTTATAATTTAGACCTCATTTATCACTATACCCATATAATATTGATATTTTAGCTTATTTTTAAAGATGTAATAAATTTTCAAAGGGTACAGATACTAATATTGTCAATATAGTTCGCTTATTTACTTAAAAAATAAAAAAAGGTTTAATTTTTTTTTGTTAAAGAGGACCAATTAATATGATCCCAGTATTTAAACTAGATTAATTGACTGTTTACGTTGATTAATAATAATTGCTCCAAATACTAAAAAAAACTGAATTTTGTGTGTGTATTAGACAGTGTGGTAAAAAGTAACACCTAAATTTTGTTTCATGTTTTGACGAATGCTTTATTTATAAAAACAGAGACGTTCATTTTCATAACATATTATTATATTGATTTCTGAGCCAAATCCACATTTATTTAGAATACTTTATCAATTAAAACAATTTAAAAGTATGTAATTAACTAATTTTTGGTGTTTTTAGTCGGAGATAATGGTGGTATATTTAATTGGTATACTCTTTTACAAAGATTTAAATCGTTTTTTTTTGTATACCAATGGGATTGCATTATTTACCACCTGTACATTTTGTACATATATGGTGCTATAAAAAATCTGAAATGTCAATATTCCATGGGTATAGTGAGAAATGAGGTCTAAATTATAAGAAAATGTATTTTCTAAGAAAACTTGAAGAGATGGGTAAAAAATGGTATAATACAATTTTATAGACCTAAAATTTTTACTGCAATTTCACAAAATTGAAAATATTTCAAAAACGGTAAGGTTTAAGTGTGATAAACCTTAATCGAATTTACCTTTATTTCAATCGTATAATCCAAGAATAGAATAATATACAGGGTGTTCCATTTAAAAAAATACAACTATAATATTTTTTACTTATTTGGGACACTGTATCTTGTAAAAATATTTTTAAATTGTAGCTCTAATAGTCCTTCAACGAACCCAAAACTTACAATTTGTAAAAATCTAATCGTTTAGCTACAATACTCCGTGTCGTATGTGGTGAACAACCCTGTATATTAAACTTTAAAATACATCAAAATTTCTAGGTGAGTGTTTGTAATGGCATTTCTTGTTTATGAGAAAGTTTTATGAGAATAAGTAGAGGCCCAACTCTTTATTTTGCTTCTAGGTTAAACAATTACCAAATTCATTTTTGTTCATTTTCTTTATAGACTAGGTACAATACTACAGATAGTATTGCTAGTACTCAACAAGACTTTATTACTTAGTCGATCATAGTAAATTATTTAGACGTTTTAGCCTTAGTGTTTTTTTCGTAGCTCGGCTAGAGGCTAGTTTTGTTTCTAGGTTTCTCACCCTGTTCCCGCAAGATTTCATAGCCGTGGACCTCCGCACCTTGCGAGCTATCCGAGTACTTAGACCTTTGAAGCTAGTCTCTGGCATCCCTAGTAAGTAGATTAAATTAGCGACAGGTGGTCTTCTAGCAGTAGATGCTCTTTCTTCGTTCGTCTTCCTCTATCTATATGTATTAACGTAAATGAAATGAAATAGATTTAACTCGAGAAACTTAACAAATACATAAACATAATTTCTTCTTTCTATATTTACTGAAGCTTTTTCATATTTAGCTTTATTATATTTAACATTTTTTTTTCTTTCCACTTTTATTTATGATTCTTCAGTGGGACCCGAAATAGAGATTTTTATAATGTCTATATCTTTGTGTTTTTTTAGATTTTTATATTAGATTTACTTTATTTTATATAAATTTCTAGTGCAGAAATATATTTCTTTTTACCAAAAATGGTCAGGAGATCAATTGATATATTTTAAAACCCATTATATACAGGGTGAGTCTTAAATAAGTGCAAATATTTTCAAAGGTGGTGTATTTCGACCACAGGAACACGCCTATGAGGGTCTTTTCGCAAAAGAAAGATGTCGAAAATCGTGTATTTTCTTTTAAATTTCGCTGTATATTTTTCGAAAACCTTTTAGAACTGCCTGTTCACCGCAAATTTTCCCACGATATAATTTCTTAGTCTTTTTATTTTTTTGTTTTCACTCTTGGCTTTAGGTCGTTGGGGTTGCAAAGATGTTTCTAGATTTTGTTCATTATTTTTTTATTTTGTGACGACGTTTCGACAGTATATGTCTTTTTCAAGCCTCTTTAAGTACATAAAAACAGTCAGTTAAAATCAATAAGATAAAATGTCAAACTAAAAGGTCTTACCTTGAACGTAGATTCTTACAGAGTTAAAATTTGTTAAACTGGACAACACAATAACACATATTAACTATTGTTTTTAATTGTTTTTGGACATTACACTTTACTATAGAGCACGTACGTATTTATCGTTTCAATACCCGATGTCTACTGTTCTTAGTGCGTTAGAGGATCGACAGATATATTTTGCTTAGATTTTTTAGGTCTTTTTTATCATTTACCGCGTTTTTGTTTTTTTGTATCTCCACCATTTCATAAAATTCTCTCTTTTTTTGGTGATTTTCTGTTTTTAAAATTTTAGTTTTATTAAAATCGAATGTATGATTTTCTGTTGACACATGATTTGTGAGGGCGGTTACATTTTTTTTATCATACTTGTGCCCTTTCAGTCTATTTTCTAACCATTGAGAAGTTTGTCCTACACTTGGAGAGTAAAGTTCTATCTGATATCGATTTTGAAATACCCTTTTTTTATCGGTATGTTGATGACTGTCTAACAGCTATACCAAAAGAAAAAATTAGGTATATAGAAGAAAAATTTAATGCCTATAATAAACATATTCAATTTACGTCAGAAATAGAGAACGATAAAAAAATTAACTTTTTAGATATTACTTTACATCATACCAATCAAACCATAAAAACCGAATGGTATACAAAGAAAACTTGGTCCTCAAGATATCTCAATTTTTTATCTAACCATCCAGCTAACCAAAAAAGATCGGTGATAATTGGCTTGGCGGACAGATCAATTCGTCTATCCGACCAGAATATAGAGATGCTGCAATAAAAAAAGCAAAAGATGCATTAAAAGAAAATAACCATCCACAAAAACTAATAAACAAAATATTCAAAGATAGACTCCAAAAATTCTTAAACACAAAAAACAATCAAAATCAAATAGAAAATAAAAAGATTAAAAAAGATATACGATATATTGCGCTCCCCTTCGTAAATGGGTTGTCTCAACAATTACAAGGGTTACATAAAAAGTATAATATAACGATTTGTTATAAAGCACATAACTTGTTAGCTAATAATTTCTCTAAACTAAAATCTGTAACACCGTTAAACAAACGAAGCAATGTTATATATGAAATTCCATGTTCGAACTGCGCCCAAGTTTACATAGGACAAACTTCTCAATGGTTAGAAAATAGACTGAAAGGGCACAAGTATGATAAAAAAAATGTAACCGCCCTCACAAATCATGTGTCAACAGAAAATCATACATTCGATTTTAATAAAACTAAAATTTTATAAACAGAAAATCACCAAAAAAAGAGAGAATTTTATGAAATGGTGGAGATACAAAAAAACAAAAACGCGGTAAATGATAAAAAAGACCTAAAAAATCTAAGCAAAATATATCTGTCGATCCTCTAACGCACTAAGAACAGTAGACATCGGGTATTGAAACGATAAATACGTACGTGCTCTATAGTAAAGTGTAATGTCCAAAAACAATTAAAAACAATAGTTAATATGTGTTATTGTGTTGTCCAGTTTAACAAATTTTAACTCTGTAAGAATCTACGTTCAAGGTAAGACCTTTTAGTTTGACATTTTATCTTATTGATTTTAACTGACTGTTTTTATGTACTTAAAGAGGCTTGAAAAAGACATATACTGTCGAAACGTCGTCACAAAATAAAAAAATAATGAACAAAATCTAGAAACATCTTTGCGACCCCAACGACCTAAAGCCAAGAGTGAAAACAAAAAAATATATAGTATACAGGTCAAAGAAACGAAACAAAAAAAAAATTCTTAGTCTTTGATATTACCATAGTTACGGCCATATAGAAAGTTACGGCTTTACTTTATGGTTACGACACTAAAAGGGATGCAAATACAGAAACAATCCGTTGGCTCTCAAATTTTTTTCAAAAAAAATATTTTTTTTTTCAATTTTCAAACTTACATAACTCGGTTAATTTGGACTTATCTAAAAAATGGTAAAGATAAATTATGTTTCTTTTATCGAGATCTACCAGCCCTGAAAATATTTCCACTTATTTAAGACTCACCCTGTATATTTAAAAATTACCTTAATATATTATTATATATATTATTATTAATAAGCGATACCAAATTAATTTTTAGTTACGTCATCGAGGGCGCTATTATGTTTCAAACCATGGACATATTCGGCGCCTCGCTGAATAACTGTAATTTAAATTTGCCGCTGATGATTTAGGTGGTAGCTCCGCTGTAAAAAAGGTCAAGTTGCCACATTTATTTATTTATTGCCTAACATTGTTATTCGTTTTGACACTTTAGTTTTGTGTTACGAGTTTTTGGTTTAAATGAATTGTGTTGTGATACCAAACTTGCAGTCGAACAATGATGTTTTTAGAATATCTTTTAGTGCAAAGTATAATAAGTGTGTTATAACCGATGCAAAAAACTTATCGCAACCTTATTAGAATATTTAGCACGGGAAAACGGTAGTAGTGGCCCTTTATGTCCCTTAAGTGCGTAAAGGAGGGGAGTTTTGTTAATGTAAATAATAACTCTTTATATATTTATAATTAATTAATTTTTGTTTTCTAAAACATTTTGATTAAAAGAAAATAAGCAAAAGAGGGCAACGCTGTGCTATGATCTATAGTATAGATCATATATAGAACATATATATATATATATATATATATATATATCACGTGACTATATATATTTGGTATGATATATATATATATATATATATATATATATATATATATAGAACATATATAATAGCATATAGAACATATTATATAATATTCTATATATAAAAACATATTCTATAGATTCTACAGAATACCTTGTTATCGGTTCCCAATTTTTAGTTGTTTAAAGGTTAAGTTTTATATTTGCCGCATTGAACAAAAAGACCAAGAAAGAAGTATACAGGGTGATCAGAATTGTATTCCGAAATAATAATAATTATTAAAATATTCTGTAGATAAAAATAAGTAAAAAAGTTCATATAAATTTATGACCTAAAATCTTCGTTTCGAAGATACAGTATGACACCTACTTGTAGAGGGCGCCACCTACATATTTTTAGTTGTTTTTCACTTAAACCAAAAACTCGTAATACAAAACTAAAATGTCAAAACGAATCAAAATGTCAGAACATAAATAAATAAATAACCTTTACATTTTTTACAACAGAGCTACCACCTGAAGCACCAGCGAGAAATTTAAATTCCAGTTAGTCAGCCTAGCGCCGAATACGTCTATGATTGGCAACAATGAATTTAATAATCGTACCCTCGATGACGTAACCGAAAGTTTATTTGATATCGCTTATAACTATTTTTCAAGTCTATTTCGAAGATTTAAAATAATCTCACTTTAAATAAAGTCCTTCCAAATTTTTGCTTAAACCTTGTAGAATTATAAAATAAACAATAAATAACATAAAATAAACTCAGAAAAGCCAATAACTCCACGAAAATTCAAATCAAATTCAAGTAGGTATGTCAAGCGAAACGCCAAACAAAGCTGTCAAAAAATGATTTTTTTTGACGTCGATTCCCCTCTCTAATGCATGAATAATAGTATATTATTTTATTAGGAGTAAAAATGATACTTTTTGTAGCGAGGCTGGGCCCGTATTCTGTAACTTTGACATAAAAACGTTACGCTTTCAAAGCGGTGAGCGCAAGTATTCGATCAGCGAAACGCAAGGCAGTCGATTTTGGTATTCTCGTTGCCATGCGAATCGTGTTCTGGATACGCGTTGAGCACATATTGGCAACATCACAATTTCTAATGTAGGTAATAGTCAAAAGTTGATAACTGACGGATGTAACAATGAAAAATGTCAATGTTACGTGAATTTCATAACCTATTGTTGAGTTATGTCAAGCTATTTTTCTATGGATATGTCATTATTCTTATTATACGAGGGAAGTGTTGAAGTCGCTTCTCAGCATTTTCGATGTTTTGAAGAATATTTATAGCTGCCAAGTCGTAAATTATCAATTACTTATTAAGGAATTTGTAGAAGAAGTAGTAATTTTCACTAAAGAGCAAGATAACGCACAAAATCACAATTTTTTTAATTTTCACTGACAGTTTGACAAGCAAAACGAACTTTTAAGGTAACCGTTTTCAAAGCGCTCAGCGCAATCAGTAAAGACGCTAAGCGCGTCAGACGAAAATACCGAAATCGTTAATTAAGTGCGCGCTCAGCGAAAATTAACGTCATATACGCTGAGCGTCTAAAAG